CCTACACGTCAATAAGACTATAGCATTGTGATCGTCCTGACTGACCCCTCTCCCACTCCCCACCAGTGCGTACGTACTTATTGAAAGATCCCTTATAGATTAACAATTTAAGATTTCTTATACACAATATGTCATGCTCATTTCTTGCACTGGATAACTTTGAGAAAATGTGTTAAAAGTTAGTGTAATTGTAAGCTAGGTGTGCAAAACAAACTCGTTTTGTGTGTATTTATGAATCGCACGGTTTTGTATTGCAATGTACTATAAATCAATGAATAGTTTTTAGTCCAAAATATGGCCATATTTTACAAAAACAAAAATATTAAATATTAAAAACTGAAGTAAGAGTTCGCTTATTATGGATACAATTAGTGTATTGTATAACTTATCTATCCAATTATCAGTTAGAATTTAGACTCCAAATTGCAAAGTTGATCCAATATTGAGATGACATACCGGAGTCCATAATGGCCTCAAATGCGACCTCCAATAGCATACGGCTCTGTGGGTCCAGATCTTCGGCCACTTCTGTCGTGAGGCCAAAGAAATTGGCGTCAAATCTGTCGTAACTCTCAATGCGTGCCATTCGGGAGGATATGTCACAGAAATCTATACAATATGTTTGCATTACATCTGTTAGAGTGCCCTTCAGGAATATTCTGTAGGAATTAACCTCTAGCATATAAATTAATAATTAATATAATTATTAAATAAATTAAAGTTTTATACAAAACCAGATCTGCATTTATTAAACATAAAATTACATACCGGAGTCCATAATGGCCTCAAATGCGACCTCCAATAGCATACGGCTCTGTGGGTCCAGATCTTCGGCCACTTCTGTCGTGAGGCCAAAGAAATTGGCGTCAAATCTGTCGTAACTCTCAATTCGTGCCATTCGGGAGGATATGTCACAGAAATCTATACAATATGTTTGCATTACATCTCATTGTAATTGCATTCATATATAACTAAAACATGAAATCTTTACTAAAAGACATACCTTTAGGCCAACGACTGTCGCTTTCGGTGATGAGATCGACACCAGCGAAGAGATTGCGGGCGAACTCGTCCACACTGTCCGACAGTGGGAATCGACCCGACATTCCGCTGATCACTATATCATCCAAAGACGTGGACATAGTTTTCAATATTTTTAAAATAATTATTCAATCTTATGATACACAGTGTGGTTAACTTTTCTATCATAAATCACTTGTTAGTGTTTGTGTGATGTATTTATTGAAGTTATTGAATTTGTTTAATTATGCAGAATTTTAATTCTATTTGTTTTTAGTTTACATTGCTAATAGTTTGTGTTGACAATTATTAGTAATTTACAATTTAATCATAACTTTATGCTATAATGTTTTTAATGCATATAATTCTAAAGAATATTACTTAATTATTTGTTTATCAAATTATGACATATAGTACCAGTTGCATTTAAAACATAATCATTATCAATCATAAAACAAGGTTTGCAAGCAATGCTATAGAAACCCACATTTACAGTTACACTAACATAGAATCAATTAAAATGTAATCAATCATAGGTATTTATCGTCTATTCATGTCTATTCTTTGAATTAAATTTCTCAATATTAATTGATAATTTTTTGAAATTACTTGAATAGGATGGGCCCTAATAATAATAGTAATAATAATAATAATAATTTTATCTGTTGGGCTATAGTGTAGGAGTGTGTGAGTTCGAGCCCCGGTACGGAAAGGATTTTGTGTATGTTTTTTGTGTTTTCTGTGTCTCCCGAACCCTGCCCAACCAACGCTGCTTAGGACGGCCAACCTAAGTAGCATGGGGAAAGCGGGGCGCAAAGTGAGGACGAGTTTCTGCCCGAACCCGGGTACCGGTACTTCGGTATCGGTGCCCACCCGGGGGTGCCCGCAAGGGTGCTCCCACCCCGGGGGTGCCTGCAAAGGTGCCCCCACCCCGAAGGGGCGTCCGCAAGGATGTCCCTTCACCCCTCGAGTAGATACTCGTCCTCACACGCGATGGCCATTTTGAAAAAATCCTATTTCAACAAACACATGTCAGTGTTGAGAAATGGGTGGCAATAGACACATGTTAGTGTTGAGCTTTTTCTAGGGTCTGGGTCCCCGTAAAACGGCCAAAACAAAATATATAAAAATGATTACACGTAGTCGAAGGAATAACGGGGGGTGTTCGGGAGGTACCCTCTCAACTAAATCCCGCGTTCAGCAGGTAGGCATTGACTGCAGTTCGCCAAGTATGCTACATATCCCACGCAGTGATGTGCAATGCGGGCAAAGCTGTGATGTAATGCGACCGCAGAATAGTCAACAAAATCAGACTAACCACCAAAATGTTTCAGTTCAAGCTGATTCTCAGCGACAACTGACCAATTTGGGGGATAAATCGCAAAAGCGCATGAAATGGACACATGAGATGAATACCTTGATAATGCGCGAATACTACAGATCAACTCGACTCGAAACTAATATGACTGATTACAGAAATAAGATATACTTAGCATTTAAATCAAAATACCCTGAACTTAATGTAACGGAACAACGAATTGCAGACCAACGGCGATACATATCAAAGAATAATAAAATATCTCCAATAGAATTACAAGAAATCAAAGAACAAG